ATATTAAACTTATCGCACAGTGCAATTGCAACAACTATAAATATTGCAGATTTAGTCAATCAGATAACGGCAGGACATGCACAAAGTAGCAGTAGTTCTTCTAATGAAATTATTAGTGTTCATAGTTCTCCACCTATTACTGTCCATAGTTCTTCATCTGAAAGTCCAACAGAAATACCAGCACCAACTGAAGACGAAGAAGAAGAAGAAAACCAACATTTCAATTTTGAAAAATTAAAATCTAAATAATATTATATATAATGGGTATTGGTCAAAGTAAAAATAATTAAAATAATAGTTTGGAAGACATTAAGAATTTAAGTATAGATGAAAAAACACGAGCAGACACTTTAATTATTAAATCTCTTCAAGAATGTGTGACACGAATTGAGAAACTAGAGAAAGAAAAATCTGACAAATTAATATATAAACTTCCTGCTTTACAATTTTGTAATGCTTCGTTAATTTAAATTAATAATATTAACATATAATAATATTATTAATTGCTATCATAATCTGTCATTTTATCCTCTGGTATTGTTGTTGAAGTAGTACTACTTATATCATCTATTAAATCTTCTTCATCAACAAAATTATTTTGACATCTTAATAATTCCTCGTCTGTTGCCCTTCTTTTCAATACTTTATAAAGTTTATGTATCCAAGAATTAGTATGAAAATTACAATTACCTCTACGATAAAATCCACCACATCTACATAGTTTCATTGGCATATTGCTATATTATATTAAATTAGAATATCTTTATTCATCATTCGTAATTTGAAATGCCTGTTCAAATCTGATATGAAACATTTTGTTAATGTCTTTAGCATTCATATTCACGTAGAAGAAACTATAAGGTGCGTCATTAACGGCTTGATGATACATATCTAATAATTGCTGTTTGTCAACAATGGCGCTATTTTCTTCAATAAAACTCATTAATTCACTGGCATTTTTCAACCTAAAAATATATAATGAACTGGCATTCAAACGAATGATAGGCGCTAAAACATTATATTTTTGTGTTGAACAAATTACACTTACTGCATCGTGCCTGCCTCTTGTAAAAAGTCCGTGTAATAATTTACTATATCTAACAAATTTAGGGTCATCGGCGTGGTCATCTATCACAATTAATATTGAATGCAGTTTCTTTATCTTTTTAGATTTCATATAATTAATAATTTTCTTCTGTCTTTCAATTACATTTTCTAAATCACTTGGATTATAATTATCAAAATAAATTTGTTCTTTTTCATCATCCACGTGCAATTCATCCCTGATATATTTTTTAACTTCTGTAAAGGTTGGGTCATTATGAACGCTGGGGGAAAATATAAATATTCTTGCAAATGAATTTCTATAAACATTTAAAATAAGGTTCTGGACTAAAACTGTTTTGCCTCCCGTCGATGAAGCAACTATAATACTTCTAAATGGTAATTTTGGCACGTGCTCATATTTAGATTGTTTGAATTCATATTCAGTTATGTTTATTGGTTTTATTATTGGGACATCTGTCATCGTTGATATTAAAGAAATATACAAAAATATATGTAAAAATTAACTTGTAATTAATATTAAATGGAACATCATTATGTTGTGAGTGGCGGTGAATAACATAATGGAACAGGTTTTCCATTGCTTCAATCAATAAGCATTGAAGATAATTAGTTTTGTGTCTCGCTCGCGTGTGCAATGAACACCAAGTGCTGTGCCCCACCAATATTCTAGTATGCATGAAATAATAAGATTAATTAGAATAATTTATCTTATTATTTAATATGGATAGAAGTTATTCAGATTATATTGATATAATAGATGAAGTAGAGAATATAGAACAAGTAATAGTAACTGACAATAAAATTAAGAAATGCTGTTATTATACATTAGAATTAATAAAATTAGGAATACAATATATCAAAAATAAAAATGTAAATATTAATATAAATGGTCAAAAGCAAAATTACTGACCAAATACAAGAGGAAAATAAAGTAGTTAAATTAATGAAGGACAAGAAAGAATAGAAAAGACATTAGAAGAGCAAAAAGGAAAACAAGAACAAATGAATATACTAATTGAAACACAGCAAGAAGAACAGAAAGAAAGTAGTAAAGCAATGGACGAAAATATAAAAACGATTGAAGACAGACTAACAGCAATGGAAAATTATGATTATAGCGACTATCAGTATGTGGAACAAACGGGTCAAGGCAATCAACCTAATGAAATCAAAGTGGATAAAGACGGGACTAATGTTAAGTGCCTACCGTGTAAATGTGGAAGGTTGATAAAAATAATTCACACAATGAAAACCAAAGAAAATAACGGAAACTCACGCAAGGACACTTGGGAACATAACTATAATACGAAATGGGGGTAAATTAGTATATAAAGAGTATATTTTACATTAAATCAATTTTATAAATAAAAAAATATTTAAATAAATAATTATATAAATAAATATATATATATAGAAATGTCTGAAGTTGAGAATGATGCTATTGCTGAACTATCAAAGAAGATAATTACAGTTAGTAAAAATGTTAAACTGTTGTACGAGATGATAACAAACTATTGACCAGAAACTTGATGCAAAGGCAAACGAACCAAAAAATAACAATGAAGAGAAGGAAAATATTGACACCATCTTTGAAAAGAAAGGGATAGGCAGACCCAGCGGTGATTATGACACGAAGCGTAAAAATATTGTGATATGTTAAATAAGGGACAAATCAAATGTCCAAAAGAACAAACATTAGAAAATTATAAACTAATTAAGGGTGATGATGGTAAATATGTAATTGTTGAAAATTAAAATATAAATAATTCTAATAATATGAATTTATTAGAATTATTTAGTGGAACTGGAAGTGTAGGAACCATAGCAAAGTCACTCGGTTATAATGTCATCTCATTAGACTTGAAAAATGCTGATATTAATTGTGATATTTTGGAATGGGATTATAAACAATTTGATAGGAACCATTTTGATTTTATTTGGAGTAGTCCCCCATGCACTGAATACAGCATAGCAAAAACTAGGGGAATTAGGAATATCGAATATGCAAATAGTATTGTCTTAAAAACTATTGAGATTATCAAATATTTCAATCCAAAATATTATGTAATTGAAAATCCACAAACTGGATTATTAAAAAATCAGGAGTTTATGAATGAGTTTGACTATTTTGATATTGATTATTGTAAATATGGTTTTAAATACAGGAAGCGCACGAGGTTATGGACGAATATTACTACTTGGACGCCACGCGCATTATGTAGGAAGGACTGCGGTAAAGTTGTTAATAACAAACATATTGAAACTGCACAACGGATGCCATCAAAAACCAAGGCGGAATGGGGTGATAATTATGTAATCCACAAACAGGAAGATTTATACAAAATACCTGCTGAATTGATTTGTGAAATCTTGGTGAGTGTAATGTAATTGTAGTTTTTTTGTTTAAATGATAAAATTAAATATAATGTGAATTTAAATACTACATTTCTAGTTAAAAACATATATATATATATATGTATATAAATTTTTCGGCAAAAAACAAAATAACTAAAACACATAATTAAAATTTTATTATAAACATATTTCTTGTTAAAACGTATTATTAAATTATATTTAAAGAACTAGTCATATTACTCTTTATATTATAATTATAAATTACATATATTATATAGGGAGATGATGAAAACCCCAAATCAATAGTTATAAATAATAGTATGCTGATGATTGTTGCCACTTAAAAAAGGGAAAAATTATGGTATTTGTTATAAATTGACATTATACACAATTGGAATAGTGAATATTATTATTGATTATTTTGCGTTTGGGCGAAGAAGATGGATGTATGTAGAACTTGTAGAAGATGGAGACGATATCAAAATATAATGGAAAATATTTTGGAGATTAAAGAAATAGATGAAAGAAATGTAGAAGATGACATCTTGATATTTCTAACTGTGTATGGAAGACCACCTTATAGTTATGTTAGAATATTTCTGAAAATCAGTAAGAAAAAATATAAAATGATTGAAGGTATATTATGGATGTTGACTTATCATAGTAGGGAAGGGTTTGATGTAAAAGAAGACATTAAAACATATATTGAAAGAAACAAGTTTAATGTCAAAAATACAGTGAGAGATATTAATATTATTTTAAAAATGATGCATGAAAGAAGTAAGATATTATACACAATTTAAATTTGAATTCAATTAGATTTATTATCATGAACTGTAAGTTATTAAATTTATCTTACCTAACCTTTGCCCATAATATTTCTACAAAATTTGTGATAAAATTTATTGTAAAATAATTTATCATAATTTTTGGAATAATATTTTTTGAAAATTTTGTAAAATTATATTTTGTAAAATTATATTATTATTATTTTAAAATTTATATTTTTTTGAAAATTTATTTTGTAAAATTTTGTAAAATTTATTTTTTTTAAAATTTATTTTTTAAAATTTTTTGTAAAATTTATTTTTTTAAAATTTATTTTTTAAAATTTATTTTTTTAAAATTTATTTTTTAAAATTTATTTTTTTTTGAAAATTTATTTTTTAAAATTTATTTTTTTTTGAAAATTTATTTTTTAAAATTTTGTAAAATTTATATTTTAAAATATGGATGAACTTACTAGGAAATTACCTGCTTTGAAATGTTGATTTTTGAAAATGTGCTGTTTGAGGTGCTGTTTTAAAATGTTGCTAAAAGTGTGGGGAGGACCCTAGGTTTTTTTATAGAAAAAAGACGGGCAAGGTCTAGTCTAACTGATAGCCCATTGCCTTCGGAGTCCGCGCACGTGTTTGCCCGGACCAGTGAATGGGTCCCGGGAGCTGCAGCCAAGTCGCGTTGATGGACACCAGGCAGCACTGCTGGCTGCCTAGCGCTTTATGCGGTATCCGCACGGCAGCACTGGCATTTGTGCTTGTTCTATGTTGCCAAAAGGTTTCAAAGGATCTTTGCACTAGGTATCCCATGCAGCTGCAGTGGTGGCTGCGGAGACGGGCAGCTTCAGCGTGCTGGCGCCACTTTCGGCCGCGGGGGGCCCAAAAGGCGTAGAGCGAGCAGCATGGCGAGCCCGCATTGCCTGCATTGGCTCAGGTGGGTCCCTCTGCCCGGCTGCCAGCGCAGACGCTGGCTGTCGGCCTGCCGCCCCAGGCGACGTGGCAGAGGTTTCTGCTCGCGTCGCACTCGGCGCGAGGCCTTCGTGTGGTCCAGAGGCGAGAACTTGGTGTGGCCCAGCGCGCGGCCAATCCCGCGGGAGTTGTGGGGGGCCCGGAAAGTCTGAAGAAACGCCGTGGGTACACACACACACTTATCGCTGAAGCTTGCGATCTCGAAGTGTGCCCCGTGTGTCTTCTGCGATGGATGCCCCTTGCAAGCTCGAACATCTTCTCTTGGTGCCTTTGTGAGGCGCTGGCAAGACGCAAGTTCCATGCGCTGTTCTGGCACACCAGGTCTTTGGTTACACTTTGAGAGACTGGTTTGGTTGCATGCGAGTGCGGCCCTCGCCGGTGTGCTTGTAGTTGAGACCTGGGGATCAAATTGCATTTCTCGGATTCAGGTTGCCACAGCGCCTTGAGCGACTCAGGCGCCCGCCAATCGTTTTGCCTGCGTACGTCAGCCGAGCCATTGGACGAATGAAGGCAGGCCATGGAAGTACGCTGCCCTTTGCAGTACTTGCGAAAAGCGCAGGGTAGAATGATGGTATATAGATGCAAGACACTACGGGAGACAGGAACTCAGCTGCTATTGGTTTCAAGCTACGCAGGTCAACGCCTCGTCGGCCAGCATGGAACTGGCACCCTTGGTGACTGGTGCCTGCGGCTTCCTTGGCAGGAGCTGAGCATGTTTTGCATGTTTGCCTTTCAGTTCGTGTGGTTTGCAGGCACGTGGTTGCCGCGCTGCTAGAGACTGGCCTGTGCAGCCGTGTCTTCTGCTTGGTCCGCGCGGCTGACAGCACGAGCGCCCATCGCCGGGTGGAGGAGGCCAGAGCCCAGGAAAGTATCAAGAAAAATATCAAACAACACCAACTCACCTGGCTGCTCAGGCGCTTCGCAAGGCTGGAGTGGCGTCGCTGGACCAGGTCGAGGCGCTCAGACTTGAAGTGTTTTGCGTGGGGCCTTCGGAAAACCCTCCCCTTGCGGCCCCTTGCGGCCCCTTGGGGCCCCTTGCGGGTCTTCGGAGGCGGTGGTCGGGGACCTGTCGCAGCGGAACTTCGGGCGATCCTTCGTGGAGGTGCAGCGCCTGGCGAACCGCGTGACTCACGTCTTCCACTCCGCCGCCAAAGTGAACCTCACGGAGCCCTTCGAGATGATGCGCAAGGCGGGTGAGAAGTGAGAGGGTGAGAAGGGTGAGAAGGGTGAGAAGGGTCAGACGGGTGAGGGAGACCGGACTCAGGACAACGTGGATTCGACTGCGCATTTGCTGGAGTTTTGCTCCATGGTGCGGCCGAAGCCCTTTCATCATATTTCCACCATGGGCGTGCTGACGCGGCTGCCTAAGTCGGTCCGTCGGTGTTTGGCCACACCAAATTCATCCAAATGCCCCATACAGGCCAGATATGCTGGAGCGCGCGGCTTCGCTCGAATTGTTACGTCGCTCGCAGCTTCCCAGCTTCGCGCAGGACCGGCAAGGAGCAGTCCGAGAAAGCGCGCCGCTGGGCGACATCCGCAGCATGCCTTTGTACGGCACAGGGGACCAGGACCGATCTGGCGATCTGACACTGCGGCTGCTTGTGACATCCAGGCCAATGGTTATCCTCAAAGCAAATGGTTGGCAGAAATGATGGTGTTCGAGGCAGGTCTTGTTGGCATCGAGGCGTCTGCGCCTTTCATTCAGGCGGCTCGGCAGGGGCTGCCAGCCTTTGTTCACCGGCCTGGTCTTATTGGCACCGAACTAAGAGATGTTTGAGTGTAATGGACACCGTGCAGCGTGTGTGACTGACACCATGCGCACGCACTGGAGTGCGGCACGATTGCTTGAGGCGGTCACTCCAAAACTGGGGCATCGGCGCAAGACGTCTTCTTCCACTTCCTCTCGGATGTGACAGACCCAGTTCAGTTGCGGCAATGGCAGCTTTCGTCCCTTTCAACTTGTCCTGGCTCACAGCCCTAAAGCACAACCGAGCCAATGTCGCTATGAAGGCACAAGATGGCAACTGCAACACAGGGATGTGCAGAGCAACAGGTCATTGGCAATATAGCTTCCAATCCATAATCTTTGCGGGCATACAACAAACAGATCAGCCACACGCACACACAGACACACACACACACACACATGTCACACGTGTCAGACGTTTTGGTTGGGGAAGGTGAACAGAAGGCACCAGTTAGGAATCAGCCATCAATAAACCAACTGCCGCAATGCCGCGACGGGTGAGCTCGCTTTCTTTTGTGTCGGCTGCCCAATTAGCTGTCAGGAGGTCAGGTAGCGAAAGGCCGTGACTCGTTTGAGCGAGGCCCTTCGGGGCAACTGAGGTAAGGTGGGCCGGGCTGCCGGCCTGCCGGCCTGCCGGCCTGCCGGCCTGACTTGCGCTGCATGCACGGGCATCCAGCGGCTTGTCTGAAAGTCCGCTTGGGCCACGATGCCACGATGGTCGTTCGGCTAGGACCCTTGGGCTGGCAGCTATGGCAGCTATGGAGCTCTTGGTCTTCCGAGCACGTGTGCTCCCGTGCAGCTTGACTGCAGGAGACGCACAGAATTGCTTGCGGTGCAATGGTGCGTCAATGGCTTTGCGGATGGCCTTTGCTTGCGGAGGTCGGAGCACGGGCACTTCATGCCGTTGCCTGGGCTGGGGCAGCATCCAGGGCAGTGGCACGGGCAGCAGGGGCAGCTTGTGCATCCGCAGCCCGGGCCAGCTCAGCCTATTGATGGTCGCGTCCTGCAGACTGCGCCTTCCTTCCAGCAGATGGAGTGGGCCTGCGCCCCAGGGACTCACTCACTGGAGTCACTGGAGTGAAGGGGTTTGGGGGTCTTCGAATGAGCTTTCGCAGAGGCAAGGAGCGCGCTGATGAACCCAGATGGGCCAGATGCCCCGCACCGGGCGCCCTCGGCCGACTCCAAGCCAAGGGAGAGTGCAGGCAGGGAGATGGCCTCGGAGTTCCGCTGCGCTCAGAACGGTTTCTGCAGCTTGGTGCACGTTTTGCTCGCCTCAGAGGCCCGAATGGGAAGGCCGCGCAGCCGGCGATGCATGCGAAAGCAGCCAAGTTCCTGGATGCAGATGGCGATGAGCGGCCACCGGTCGATGAGCTGGAAGGCAGAGTCAGCACTGTTTGCTAATCCGTGAATGAGGGTTGTATGAAACATTGACATCAAATTGAGGCATTTGAGGGTCGGGCCGGCGAGGTGACAGCGTGTCGCGTTGCTGCACTGGACAAGCCAGTGCGCAATCGTGGTCCTTGGGTCCTCAGCTGCAGCAGCGAAGCTGGCTCGCCTTCTGTCGCTCGTTGCATGGAGCTCCGTTGCCCATATTGGCCATTTGCCAAGCCTCGAGTGGAACAATCCCCACTCGCCGAGGCAGACCAGAGCCCACAGACGCTGACATCCGGCGCATGGTTCGGGATGCACAGGCAGCTGTGGTTCTCAACGTCTACCATATAGGGAACCCCGAGGCAGGGGTTTCTGAGACTCTGAGACTCTGAGATGTTGGCTTCGTACAACACGCTCATGTTGGGGCACTGCTCTGCCTTCGTCGTTTGCCGGGCAAGTGAGGTGCTTGGCTTGAACCATTCTTCTTCTTTTTTTAGTCTAACGCACATTGGCCTGAGAGGTGATCAGCAAGCTCCAGCCAGCCACCCGCAGCTTTCTGGGTCAGGGTGGAGTCTTCCACCTTGGCATCGAGGCTTGGCCCTTTGCATCTCAGTCTCGGCAACATGGACTGGGCCAGGTGTGTGGCACGGAGTGGTCCTACGGGCCTACCAAGGCCTGTGCCCCTGTGCCGTCGGCGAGCATTTTGTTTAGGGTCGCGACAGGAGCCGCAGACCGGCATCTTCTGCCACGAGCCCCGAAAGTGCCTGCACACCTTCCATCACGCCATTTTCTTGGGGGACACTCGACTTGATGGGTCGGTAGACCGGTAGACAGGCAGGTGAGGCCACCACCCACGTTATGTGGTATCATGTCATATCTCTCATCTCTCGCATTCCTCTTTATAGTGCGGCCTTAAGGACTGCAAAAAGCAGGCCCCGGAGGTGGGCGTGGTGCTTATGAAGATGGAGTCCGAGTGGTCCGGCCCGGACTTCGACATCCTCTCGCGAAGCGATTGGCACTTCACCATGGCCGCCGGGCTCGAAGGGGCTAGGGAAGCTCCGAGGGGAAGCTCCGGGCTCGGACTCTCCGAGTCTCCGAGTCGTTGTTTGAGGCTCTCTCCCACAAGCTGGGAGTCGGCACACTGCCCAGCGGCCTCAACCGCGTGTCCCGCCGGGGCGTCATCTCTGATGACGTGAAGGCGGGGAAGGGAAGCCGAGGGAAGCCGATCGCAGAGAGAAAGACAAAGAGAAGACAAAGAGTCTCTAAGAGATTGGCTGTCGTCCGGGGCACCGAGGCGGAGTTGCGGGCAGTGCAGCAGGTGGACGGTGGCAGCTTCCAGCGGGGCTTGCAGAGCCTGGCGGGCTGAGAGCGTCTGCAAGTCCCGCCGTGCAACGCTACGTCTCACTGAAGCTCCGGGGAAAAATACCGTTGTCAATGCAACCACATCAAACGCGACGGTGTCAGATGAGCTTGCAAAGGTGCTCCAACTGCGGCGCTTGCCAGCCATGGAGGGAGACAAGTTCAACTTGACGCCGGTGGATTGGGTGGCCAAGGCGAGCCACGGAGCACGGTCGAGGTTGATGTAACGAGCAGCTCAGGCGATCGTCCACGTCGCTCTGCGGGAGGAAGGCATCGGAGTCTGAGGGGGCTTGGTGTCCAGGTCACCTTTCAGCCCAGGTGTCAGTGGCAGTGTCTTCCACCCGGCTGTGTGCGGCACCCGGGTTTCCACGTTTCCGTGCTCTGCAATTGTCTTCTTGCAGGCCCCACAATGCCATCACCATTGCGGAGTTGGTCAAGGTGTTCCGAGACTTCGGGCACGCTTCTTGGACTTTCGGGTTTGTCCACTTCGAAATGCGCTTTGGGGAGGTATCAGAATCTGCAGATCATGGACTTCGCCTGGCGCTCAAACCGGGGTTCGAGGGTTTCAGGGAGATGTGAGCTGTGAGAGGTGAAATGGCGTGACACCATCATCGCAGATCCGATCCGCTTCAAGAGTTGGTCCTTCTGCGCGGCCCTCACGGCAGAGGCCGGGATGCAGATTTTGGTGTGTGTGTGTGTGTGTGTGATGGGACGGGCCGAACAGGGCCGAAAAGGGCCGAAAAGGTCGTGACAGTTTGGAGCTTTGGATTCAGGGCCACGGCATCGACTCCATGGCCGACAGCTCCGCGGGCGCTCGGGCCATGCGCGAAGCCGTGGGCGAGGCCTACGACGCCTTCCGAGCGGACCAGTGCCTGGTGCAGCAGATCCGGTGGTGCGTGGGCGAAGGCCGGGACGGAAAGCGAGCAATCGAAAGAGATAGATGTAGTAAGCAAAGCGGGAAGGAAGGAGCGAAAACCGTTAAATGTAGTTGGTACTTTTGCTTACAAGTGCAAGTGCTGTAGTGTTCAAACAAACAGTCAACCAATGTAGTCTGCAGCTGCCAACCTTTTCACTCATGCGGAGTAGTAAGCTCAAGGCCTGCGGTAGTGAACATACATGCAACACAAATGCAGGAAGTGAAGCATGTAGTTTGACACGGCCCCTCAGTTAAAAGGTCTTTGTAGTACCTTTTCAACTGAAGTGCAAAACATGGATTGACAGTAGTGATGAAAACCATTGTTGTTCATCAATTCTACTGTATTGGCAAAAGTATTGACCTGCGCTCGGTAGTTCACGCTGTTCAGGTTCCAGCTCGATGTAGGGCGCTGGATGGAAGTTGTGAGGCAGGCACTCGTTGTAGTGGAGCATGAGCTCAAAGATGTAGTCCCCATTTTTGGGCGCGATAGTCTTGGACCATCTGGAGTCTGTTGTCCAAGGTCGCCTAGTAATGTATGGTGAAAAATGTTGTCATGTAGTTTGGAGCTCCCCGTAGTCGCTCGTCGTCTATCTCAGGGCACGACATGCGTTGGTCGTACTCCCTGAGAAAGCGGTTTAGTAGTGCTTTGTGATGTTGAGTGAGGTTTGTCATGGTGAGTAGTGTGAATCCGTAGTACTGTATACTCTTGCAGAGGATGGAAGTAATTGCCTTGTGCTGGAAGTCGTGCAGTTGGTCTCTGTTGTAAAGGTAGTGGAGTAGTTCAGGTAGTAGTAGGGGCATGTGGTAGCTCCGAAGGTAGTTGTTCCTGAGGCTGTAGTTGTCAGTGAAGGTGGTCATGTTGTAGTTCACCTTGTAGATGGTCTGTGGAATTGGTGTAGTCGGGAGGTAGTAGTTCTGTTGTATGGACATCATGTAGGAGATGTAGTCCCTTGTGAAGTGTAGAAATTGTCCTGAAGTGAGGTACCTCAGGAGTAGTGGTTGTTCAATCTGGAGTTGGATGATGATGTAGTTGGTGTTGTCGCTGGTTGTAGTGTGGAGTGAAGTCGTGTGGTAGTAGTGGACGTTGGCTGCTTCAGGTAGTGAAACGCTGAGCAGTGTAGAGTTGTAGCGGGGCATCCGAAGGTCTCCAGGGACGCAGCGAATGGTCGCGTGTAGTCCAGTTGTGCCAGTGGAGTTGCTTGTTGTTGTGAGAGTAGTTGATACTCTTCAAGTGTGAGTGCAGTGAAAAACTGAGTGTAGGGTGTGTTGTCGGGCAATGGTGGTGTAGTTGTTGTCTGGTGCTCAGTGATGTGTAGTTGGTCCATCACTGTGGTCGGGTTGTAGTAGACCGTGTTGCCAGGTGTAGAATGGTTGAAGTGGTAGTTGGAGTCGTTGTAGGTTTGAGGTGGTGGAGTTTCGTGGTCACTGGAGGACGCC